TCCTTGGCTAGTGTAAGCACTACCTAGCAACAACTAAAACATGGGTGCCTTATCAATTTTGTTTCCATCCTAAATCCAAAACACAGCACTGTACCAGCTACTAGGAAGGAAACTAACTCTATCCCTGCTGAAACCAGGACACCGTGCCACAAGCATGACCCTCCGCTCCCTCTTTCCCCACCGGCGGTTGGGGTTGACGTGCCGGCACCGCGGTGGGGAGCGCACCACCAAGCGTGGGTGGTTGCATTGGACCGAGCAAACTGCGGAGGAGCTGCCCGCAGCCTGCAGGAGAAATGGTGTGGGGACACGGTGTGGCGATAAGGAGGGCTTTTCTGCGCCCTTTTCATTTACCAATCAGTGGTGCTGGTGCACAGCGTTCCCCAACGCAAACAGTTTGTCCAGGATGGGGTAACCGCGTCGGCGGGAGGGGGCAGTGCCGCTTGGATGGGGTGCTGAACCAGGACGGTGCGGGACACATTGAAAAAAAACTGCCGGACAATCTGGAAAACTCAGTCTCCTCCTTCGTGCTTGGGTTTCCACGCCTGTAAAGCAGGAACAGTGGTGCTGATCTCCTGTGTGATTTCTGTGGGGTACGCGGGTGACAGCCAGCATGAAACGGGCTGATACTACTACTGAGAATATTATTTATTAATAGATTTTATTAGTTAGGGCAATGCTAGGACTTAAGGTGCAAACACTCTTGCCACAAAAGTGGGAAATTTTCCTCTTCAAAATACTTTAGTTTGGGAGTGTTTCTGTGGCAAGGAGAGCAAACCTCATCACCCATGTATGTCCCTCTTCTGCTTACTCTATACCACGATCGTTGCCGTGTCCTGTGTGTTTACTCAAGAGCTCTACAGAAGGTGCCTCTGGTATGGGACAGCCTGAATCCCTTCGAGGAGGAGTGTGTGGATTGAGCTGCAGGGAGAGGAAAGGGAGTTACTGGTTCTTCCATCTGCTGGGATCTTGTAACCAGAAGACGCGGCACTTGGCCTTGTAGTGCCTAGATGCTCAGAGTCACTCTGGAGGCTACAGTCTCGCAGCCTTTGCTGGAGTAGAGTCTTTCTTCGCTGGGGTAGTCAGTCGTTGCCAAGGCAATCTCTGCAACGAGGTCTTCATCCTCAGGATGCCCTTGCACGCACAGCTCCTCCCAGACACACGCTCTCCCATGTTTATATTTGAGAGGAAGGAAAGGGATGAAATAGTCAGTCAGGTTCTTCTGGGTCAGTTGACTGTGAAAGAAACCGCCTGGAAGAGAGAATAGGGAGCTTTACCATCGGAGTGCTGCAGAGGCCAGCGTGTTGCTGCACGTGTCATGGATCATTTTGCAGAAGACCTCAGCAGTCCTGGGACTGAGCCCTAAGCCCAGAGGTACTCACTGTTTCTGTTCCTGAAAACTTCCTCTGAGAGCAGAGACTGGAGCTTCTTCACAGGAATGTCTTCTCTTCAGCCTTCTCTAGTAATCCAGAGCAATCTCTGTTATCTTATCTCCGCCTGCATTGCTGTTAGGAAAAGAGATTCACTGGCTCATTAGAGCTGTATCTTTGCCATCTTTATTGCTCAGATCTAGGCAGTGGTTTAAGTCACTCTGTGTGAATCTGCAGCGGAGTGGAGGTGACGTGTCCCTACATGTGGGTGCTGCCCAGCGAGGGGAAGTGACAAGGACCACACTATCTCCCAAATGACAGCAGCGTCTGATGGTATTGAGCGCTCCTCTGGCACAGTGGCTTGAACAACGGCGTTGGTCATTGCAGCAGAGCAGGGGGATTGGTCACACAGCCAGGTGTTGGCGAGAGGCTCTCTAACAAGCTGCTACTCACTGTGGTAATTGCTGCCTCAAGCTGAAATAGGTAGCTGGCCACGTGTTTGAATGCAATGGCGTGCTGAGAGGTACACCAGCCCAAAGGTTGGGGTTTGGGCTTGCTTCAGTCATGTCACATGAAAAGAGCTGGGATGAACCTCAGCAAAGGGATTTCCCAGGAATAATACCTGGAGGAATTGTGCTCCCTTGATCTGTGCATGCAAGTGGCCTTCAATAGGTGAGTTCTTCCCTCTCTGCATCTAAAGAGCTCCATAGGGTAGTCCCACTGTCCTGGTTTCGGCAGGGATAGAGTTAATTTCTTTCCTAGTAGCTGGTACAGTGCTGTGTTTTGGATTTAGGGTGAGAACAATGTTGATAACACACCGATGTTTTAGTTGTTGCTAGGTAGTGTTTACACTAGTCAAGGACTTTTCAGCTTCCCATGCTCTGCCGACTGAGAAGGCTGGAGGGGCACAAGGAGCTGGGAGGGGGCACAGCCAGGACAGCTGACCCAAACTGGCCAGAGGGACATTCCATGCCATGGGACGTCATGCTCAGTATATAAAGCTGGGGGAAGAAGAAGGAAGGGAGGGATGTTTGGAGTGATGGCGTTTGTCTTCCCAAGTCACCGTTACGGGTGATGGAGCCCTGCTTTCCTGGGGATGGCTGAACACCTGCCTGCCGACGGGAAGGAGCGAATTAATTCCTTGTTTTGCTTTGCTTGCGTGCGCGGCTTTTGCTTTACCTGTTAAACTGTCTTTATCTCAACCCACGAGTTTTCTCACTTTTACCCTTCCGATTCTCTCCCCCATCCCACTGGGGGGGAGTGAGCGAGCGGCTGGGTGGTGATTAGTTGCCGGCTGAGGTTAAACCACGACACCCACCCATCTTACAGAGAACTTTCTGCCTAACAGTAGTGTTACAGAGCTGGAGAAAACATATTTACTGACCACTGTGGAAGTGGCATGTCCAGTACTTTTGAAAGCCACCATAGATACCTGTGCATTTCCCATTGAGGAATGGGAGCCTTTTTAGCCCTGGAACAGCTGACTTCTCTTTGTAGTGCTGAATAGCTCGGATCTTCCAGCTGACACGATGGCTGGGCCTGTTCGTTGACAACATGCTGTAAAGACAGACAGCGAGGGACCCCGAGCTGCTCAGCCACCCTGCGGTCAGCTACAAACCTGTCAGCAATTGTTACTCCCTTTTTCTCTGCAGATCCTGTGGGACTGTAATTCCCTTTTCGCCTTTGGCTTTCCTTTCTTCAGAAAGAGGAAGATCGCCTTGCCATAATAAATGCCATCAATCTCTTCGTCGTAGCCAAGGAATGGCATGATAGAGTCTATCAGGCCATGTGGCATCTGATCCATTTCAGAGGAGATAAAAAGGGACCTTGGACAGGCACTGACATTGCCCCGAATCCAATTCTGCAGCTGCTCCTGTGAGAAGAGGCAAAATTACCTGGGATTTGCACTCACAATTGCAGACAAATTGAAGAAAGTGAGATAAAGCTGGAAGTACCTTACAGAGATGGGCATGTGAAAGGTGTGGGAAATGCAGTACTGTGCTGAAGTGGCGCACAAACCTCCTTCTTGGTATATTAAGCTGAGAGAGGTTCTCTGCAACGATACTGCTGACAAACGATTTGCCTGTTCCAGTCCAGCCGTGGAAAGACATCACCAGGGGCTTCCTGGGCCATCTGGAGTACATATTTGCACTCAGAACTCTCAGAACTATCTGGATAGCAAGATGCTGGCCAAAGACTTTTCACTCCAAATCCATTTTTATAACTGAAGGAATGAGGGGACAGAAAGGGCAGAAAATGCCATATTATTCCTCCCTTTTGTTTTGGTTGCAGCTGAATGACCGGAGAACAAAC